ATGTTAACTGTGTTTATCTTGCTTTTTAAGATCTAGATGATCTTCATTCTTATGCCCTTGGGCCATCTCATGAGAAGTCTTCTTGACATCCTCAACTCCTTGCCTAGAGATCTCCTTAACTAGGTCATTGAGTTCATTAGGTGTATTTTCTACTTCTCCACATTAGTGCAGGTGAGTTTTAAAAAACTTTCTACCACTACATAACAAGGATGCCCACTCTTCTAACTTCCAGTAATACTTTTCTCACTTTCTTAAAAGTCCCTCTGACAGTTCCTTGGGGACCTGTAGGTTTTCACCCACTGCTTGGTCCCAAGCCAATGTCATGTGGTTTATGTTTTTGTTACAGCAACATCTCACTTCAAAATCTGTTCTAGTTATACTACTGTGAAAAAAATCACCCAAAATGTAGGGATTTGAAATTTAAAAAAAATCATTTATTTTGCTCATTCATCTGCCATCTGGCAGAGCTCAGCAGGGGTGGTGGCTTGACTGGAGCTGGAGGATTCTACTTCCAATATGACTCCAGATCTACTTCTGGTATGGCTTCTGTACTCAGTCATTTGAAATGTGGGCCGAATTTTAATGTGGGGGAAAATAAATTTTAGGTTGGTTTGGATTCTAGTTTATACCATTATAAACTTTTCCCAGTATCCAAAACATAAATGAAATAATGCACAAAGAACTGTTGTCAACCCATGGTCTTTGGCACCAATTCAACACCAACAGGAACCCCCAATTTGGGGTACGGTGAAGAGGGAAATGTTATTCAGTGCAAACGGCGAGGCTGTGAGGAGGCCGTGGGGTGAGGCGTATCACTCACTGGCTAGACTCCAGCTAGACTGCTCTGCCCTGCCCTGTTCCCCTCTGCTCCTCTCTGCTCTAGCCGGAGGTGAGACTCCATGGGCAGAAACACAGTCTTCAGTCCTGGGTGGAAAGGGAAAATGCCTCCACTTATACGTTAGAATTCGTTTGTCAATTTTCACAAAAATCTTACTTGAATTTTTTTTTGGACACCAATATCTGGTTGATCTCTTTCCACCCCTCAGAAATATAGTCCAGCGGATTTTCTCTTTGCTGTGGACATCGCACGAGGAGGTATGACCAGCACTTGCCCCAATGCCTGCCATATAACCAACCCATTAGAGGAAAGCTCCTTCTGGGTGACAGGCCACAGCAGGGTGGAGTGGGGCTAGTTGGAGAACAGGCCCGGCTGGGCCTCGACTCGGGGCAGTTAACCAGTAATGACCCTAAAGTTAAAATGAGTTAAATTCTCTTACAAAAAGCAAGAAGAAAACTAGTATAACACTTCAGTAGTGTCCCAGCACTCAGAATTTAACTATAAGATGGCAAAAAAACCAACAGGGCCACCTCCAGGGTGTGGCCAGCTCCTGTTTGGCGCTGCGGCTGAGCTGGAGTCACTGGTAGAGCCCTGGCGCCGTCAGCGGAACGGCAGCCGCCGCCGCAGCACAGACAGCACCAGCTCCCGCCTCCGGGTCGGGGGCCACTGTTCCTGAAGGTGAGGAAGCTTCGGACCTTATGTTTTCCCGGAGGTTAGTGAAATCATCCATAAAACTTTAAAAACACCCTTCACACCTATCTGGTTGTAGGTGAAAGCTAAGCTGTGCATAGCCATCCCGGGCAGCTTGGCAGTGTAGGGCAGCCTTCATTTCAATTCCATCTCGCCCTGATGAAGGCCAGCCACAGAGCCACATTGTCGGGGTTGTCACTGTCTGGGGAGGACTCGAGATTGATGGGCTCTATGAGATCAGTCATGCCGGGAACCTCCCCGGGTTCCTGGACCTGTTCCTACAGGAAGATGTCCAAAAACAGATCCCGGGAGAGGGGTCCTGCATGAGACATTCCTTCCCTTGAGACATTCGTGGTGGTGGCGGCAATGGTGACTGTGTTCGGCGCACTTGAGCCAAGAAACATATTGGCTGCCTCTAGATGAATTTTATTGAGATTATATTGGATCTATAGGTCAATTGGAGAGAATCGACATCTTAATATTTAGTCTTCCATCCATAAACATGGTATAGCTTTCCATTTATTTTGGCTTTAAAAGATTCTCTCAGCAAACACTTTGCGATTTTCAGTTTAGTGTTTTTGCACATCTTTTGTTAGATTTATCTTTTTTTATTTGATGGTTTTGAAGTTTTAGAAATGGTATTATTTTTATTTTTATTTCAACTTGTTTGTTGCAAGTATATAGAAATACAATTGACTTTTGCATATTGATCTTGAATCCAGTTACTTTGCTAAATTACTAATTAATTCTAATAGTTTGGCTATAAATATTTTTATAAATACACAAACAAATAATGGCAGGTCTATTTCTCCTTTTTAAGGTTTATTTTAAAAATTCATTTTCATAGCCTTATCACATTGGCTAGAATTTCCAGTGAACGTGAAATAGAAATGGTGACAGTGAATATCTTTGTCTTGCTCTTAAATTGAGTTGGAAAGGACTTAGTATTTTACCTTTAAATACGATCTTAGGCATAGTTTTTCATATATATACTTTATTGGATTAAAAAAGTTACTTTCGTCTATAGCCATGTTGCCTTGAACAAGCCCGATCCCGTCTGATCTCAAAAGCTAAGCAGGGTTGGGCCTGGTTAGTACTTGGATGGGAGACCACCTAGGAAGACCAGCTGCTGTGGGCATAAAAACAATTAATAAGGGATTGTAAGCTGACAAGGTCCTTGCGATCAAAATTAATAAGGGATTGTAAGCTGACAAGGTCCTCCTTGCGATCTGTGAGATCAACCAAGGGTTGCCTCTGTCAACCAAGATCAACCAAGGGTTGCCTCACCTAAAAAAAAAAAAAATTCCTATATATAGTTTTCTGAGAGTTAAAAAAAAAAAGGGAACAGATATTGAATTTTATCAAGTGCTTTTTTTTTTTTTTTGATCTATTGTGATTATTGTAGGGTTTCCTCCTTTATTTTTTCAATGTGGTGACATAGATTCCTTGATTTTGAAATGTTAAAAATCTTAAGACAAGTCCTAGTTAGTCATGACGTATTATTCTTTTTATCCGTTGCTGGATTTGATTTGCTAGTGTTCTGGAGGAGATTTTCCATCTATGTTTATGGGAGATATTGACCTGTACTTTTCATTTTTGTAACATTTTTGTCAGGTTTTGTATCAGGCTTATGGTGTCTTCCTATAGCAAGCTGGGAGTGTGTGTTCCTTTTTTCTTTATTTATTGACAGAGTTGTGTAAAATTGGTTAATATCTTTCCTTAAATGTATGTTTTGAAGAATTCACAAGTGAAGTTATCTGGGCCCAGATTTTTTTTTTTTGTGTGTGTGGTGTGGGCATCTTGAAATCTTAACGTTTCTTTTCTCATTGTGTTTTTTCCTTAGGATGTTTCCAATATTCCAGAACAAGGAGACAATTGTCCATGAAATCTTGAATCACTTCAAGAAAAATAAAGTGGAGATAGCGAATGCAATAACAAAGCCATTTCCTTTCTTTGAGAGCCTCAGAGATCTCTCCTTCATCACCGAAGAAATGTATAATGTAAGTGAAGTTTATTATGTCTCCCTGTGACGATTCAGCTGCATGTTAATTTATATTTGGTATCCTGGATTCAAAATTTAGTGTATCACTAACTGGCTGATAGCTTTTTATGCTTTTCATGGGAAGACTCTTTTAAGTTAGTTAATCATCCGAAAAGATTGAGGGTGACAGGGCAAGCAGACATCACTAAAGGCATTTTTTTTTTTTTTATGGTGACATTGGTTAACACAATCCAGTAAGTTTCAGGTGTACAATTCAACAGTAAGGCATGTATATATTGTGTTGTGTGTTCACCGCCCATAGTTAGATTTCTGTCACCACATATTTGACACCTTTTGCCCCATCTACTTCCCCCGCCTTGGTAACCACTAGTCTATTGTCCATGTCCCCGAGTCTCTGTTTGTTTGTCTTGCTCATTTGTTGCCTTTAGGTTTATATCCCACATATAAATGATACCATGTGGTTTTCAACTTTTTCTGTCTGGCTTATTTCACTTAGCATGATTATCTCGAGGTCCATTCATATTGTCACAAATGGCAGTGTTTCATCTCTTCTTATGGCTGAGTCATATTCCATTGTATATATGTCCCACAGCTTCTTTAGCCAATCATCTATCATAGGACACTTTGGTTGTATGTTTTCAAGTCTTTGAGGGTAAATACCCAGTAGATGGATTGCTGGATCGTATGGTAGATCAATTCTTAGTTTTTTTGAGGAATTTCCAGACTGTTTTCCGTAGTGGTTGTACCAATTTGCAGTCCCACCAGCAGTGTACGAGGGTTCCTTTTTCTCTGTATCCTCTCCAATACTTGTTATTTTTTCTCCTGTTGATAGCCATTCTCACGGGTGTGAGGTGGTATCTCATTGTGGTTTTGCTTTGCATTTCCCTACTAACTAGTGATGTTGAGCAACTTTTCATATGTTTGTTGGCCATTTGTATTTCTTCTTGGGAGAAGTGTCTGTTCAGGTCCTCTGCCCATTTTTTAATTGGCTTGTTTAGGTTGTTGTTGTTATTGAGTTGTATGAGTTCTTTATACATTTTGGACATTAGGCCCTTATTGGAGGTGTTGCTTGCAAATATAATTTCCCATTTGGAGGGCTGTCTCCTTACCTCGTTGACTGTGCAGAAGTTTTTTAGTTTGTTGCAGTCCCATTCATTTATTTTTGCTTTTACTTCCCTTGTCTTTGAGGTCAAATTCATAAAAACCTCTTTAAGTCCAAGATCCACGATGTAATTTTTTAATTTTTATTTTTTATTATTTATTTTTAATGTTACTGGGCAACCATGGAGATGGCAGGAGACCGTCTAGGTAGAGTGAGGCGGGAGACTGTCTAGGTTGAGCGAGCTGGGATCTGGTAGGAGGCTGGGAGAGCCTCAGTGCAAGCACAGAGCGGGTCTCTTGGGAGACCATTCCTAACCCCACCATTTTTTAAAAAATCACCATTGGGTGTGAGGAGGCTAGGGCACTGCACAAAATATGGAATGCTTCATGAATTTGTGTGTCATCCTTGTGGAGGGGCCACACTAATCTCTGTATCATTCCAATTTTGATATATGTGCTGCTGAAGCGAGCACCAAGGCCCATGAGTTTAGTTCCTGTGTTTTCTTCTATGCTATTTATTGTTTCAGGTCTTATATTCAGGTCTTTAATCCATTTTGAGTTAATTTCAGTGTGTGGTGATAGACAATAGGCAAGTTTCATTCTTTTGCAGGTGGTTTTCGAGTTTTTCTAGCACCATTTATTGAAGAGGCTTTCCTTTATCCACTATATGTTTTTGGCTCTTTTGTTGAAAATTATTTGCCCATAAAAACATGGATTTACTTCTGGACTCTCGATTCTGTTCCACTGGTCTGTATGTCTATTTTTCTGCCAGTACCATGCTGTTTTGATTACTATTGCTTTATAGTATAATTTGAAGTCAGGCAGAGTGATGCCTCCAGCTTTGTTTTTTTTTCTCAAGGTGGATTTGGTAATTCGGGGTCTTTTGTGCTTCCATACAAACCTGAGATTTTTTGTTTGATTTCTTTAAAAAATGTTGATGGGATTTTGATGGGGATTGCATTAAATCTGTATAATACTTTAGGTAATAAGCTCATTTTAACTATGTTGATTCTTCCAATCCAAGAACACGGAATATCTTTCCATTTCTTTGTATCTTCTTCAATTTCTTTTGATAGGGTCTTATAGTTTTCATCAAATAGGTCCATCACATTTTCGTTAAATTTATTCCTAGATATTTTATTCTTTTCGTTGCAATTGCAAAAGGAATTATTTTTTCCACTTCTTTTTTTGACACTTCATTATTAAAGTATAGGAATGGTATGGATTTTTTTTGATATTGATTTTGTATCCATAAACTTTACTGTATTTGTTAATTGTTTTTAGTAGTGTTCTTGTAGAGTCTATAGTGTTTTCTATATGAAGCATCATGCCATCTGTAAATAATGACAGTTCGACTTCTTCATCTCCTATTTCGATGCTTTTATATTTTTCTCTTGTAAAGGCACCTCTAATTGAAGCCCTTCTCTTCTGTGGGACATGTTGGAGTGCAGAGGGGTGATGGAGGATAGTGGTGATATGGATTGAAACTGGTACGCTTGGCAAATGCATAGCGATTTACACAATATAACAAAATGAAATAAAATTAAAATAATTAAAATAATTGGAGCATTATTCCATTATAATACCTGCTTACCTGAATTGAAATTTTCAGGGAATTTATACTATTATAAATAAAATTCCTGCCTTTTTGCTGTTTCCTCCAAAGTGTTTACATTTCGTTAGGTGGTTCTAGAGTCTTGGAATTCAAGTTGGTTAATGGGCCCTTTTGGGGAAATAGAGGAGGAAGCCATCTCTCCACCATGTGATCGAGCAGTTGATTCTCTTTGTGCTCTTTGCAGCAAGGGGAGGACCATCTCCCTACTTCCTGGAGACCTATTAGGACTTTTCACACCTGGGGTTGCTGTGCTGTCAACAGAATTGCGATAAGATCTATTCTTGAAACAGCCTAGACAGGTTGAAAGTGCAAAAGTCAAGAAGTTGATCAAATATTTAAGAAGTTCTAAAGTATTACATGAAAAATGGTAGTCTACACTGAGAAAGTAGAATGAGTATTCTATGCAGTTCTTTCCTTGATGTCCATTTAACTTTGAAAGCATTATTTTAGATTTTTTTCCATTGCATTTTTTTTAAAGGATTCTCAAGAAGCCTGTAGAAACTTGGTCCCTGTAGGAAAAGTGGTTTATCAGATGCTCTGCAACCTTGAGAAGACGTTTGATGGGTCACTT